GAAGCTCAGCTCTTGCAGTGGGAGTCTGGTGAAGTGTCGGAGGCTGGATGCCGACATTTGGGATGGCGGAGCAGAAATGCATCTTGCAGTCCTGATTTCACCTCTGTTTGCGTGGCCTTGCTCCCCAGCTCGTGTGGGTTTGTAGGACAGCTCTGGGAAAGCCAGAAAGCGCAGGTGCACACAAGTTTACAGCAAGTGATTTCCAAGTTTCTTCTGCGCCGTGCCGCTAGCGGAATCGTCACGACAGGGAAGGGCTCAGCAGCGGGAAGGGTTTCTTCTGCCACAGCAAATCAGCTCAGAAATCTCCTTGCAGGAGAGGTTAAGCACAGCAGACCCAGATCTGTCAAAACTACACTCGTTTCATCATCAAGGCAGACGGTGTCCTCTCTTCTGCTGTTAGGAGCCTGGTATTTGTTAACCCTTCGCCCCCTGCCTTTTGCAACCCGTGTCCTTTAATCGCCCGTTAATCAGATTAGCGTGCCTGACTTCCTCCTCCTCATCGCTGCTGCACTTGCCAGCCCGTCTGAGCCAGTTAAAAGTCAGCATTGGCAGGTAGTACAGATTTTTCTGTTTGATTTTCTTCCTGCTGTTGCCTCTCGTGTGACCCTTCCTTGCACATCACCAGTAGAGATGGTGGAAGATGATAGCTGTTCCCTTCTGCGCGGGTGCTGCGTTCCGCGCTCCCGCTCTGCAGCGAGGGCTGACGTGTCAGCGCTTTCATTTTAAACCACTTCAGGGAGGTTTAGATGGGCCATAAAAACGTGTGCTGTCTGCAGTCGATGTACAGGTAGCAGGGACATGCAGACTGGCATTGAGGAGTTGCGGAGGTGCAGCTGACAGAGTAGACATTTCAAATGCCATTTCTGGCACTGCTGTTATTGCCAAATTTGTTTTTTCGCGTTAATGGTGGGGCAGAAAGACGACGAACAGAATCAGCGTATCAGTGGAGCTTAGATGAAAAAAATCACTGCAGGAGACATTTCTACTCTCCGGAAGAGCAGCTTTGAGAGATTATCCCCACCTTAGAAAAGATGTTTCTCTTCTAAAGAGTGATTAAAATGTTGCTTTAAAAAACAGAAAAATGACAAATATCGAGGACCGCTTGAAGTGTAGTGAACCAGCTGCTATCCAGCAGTCCCGGGGCTGGGTCAGGGAAAGACAGGTCTCGGCGGCCTCAACATCAGCAGTACATAAAAAGTCTGAAGCCGGCAAACCTGACACCGTGAGCCTGAACTGTCGGTGTGGAACGGTCCCTGCCTTCCAGCGAACAGCCTGACGGTCAGCGCGCTTATCGCGAGTACCTGCTAACACGGTGCGGGAGCCAGGCACTTCACACCGAAGAAAACCCATTGCTGCTGCTTCCTGCCTTGTCTCAAATACGAGTTGAACTCAGTAATGCTCGTCCTGTGCCGTAACTGGTGCGTCCCTGTCTCGGGTGACCGGCTCTGGCCCTGATCCGGCAGTCGGTTTTTTGGGGTTGGCCCGTGCAGGGCTCTGCACGGGGGGAACCTGCCCGTAGAAGTCTCATTCCCAGACTGTCATTATCTCCTTTTTCTTTTCTGTATCAGTTTCTTTGACAGGTAGTGCTATTTAAAGACCACAAACGTTCCCCCGAGCGTGTACAAATATAAAACATATTTCATGACGTCTTGCCTTGCGGTTCCTGCGTGTTGCGTAAGAATTACTGTTGAAATTACAGTGATGTCCTGGAAGTGGCATGGTCAGATAGTAAAGAAGTGGGCGAACTTATTTTCCCATAAAAACGTCCAGGGCAGCAGGTAGGAACTAAAGTTACTAGAAAATTCCTTTTTTTATGTTCTCATGCTTCTCGAGCTGATCCATAACAGAAGGCTGAGAGGGGACCTTAGAAATGCCGATAAGTATCTGCAGAGTGGGTGTCAGGAGGACGGGGCCAGACTCTTTCCAGTGGTGCCCAGCGACAGGACAAGGGGCAATGGGCACAAACTGAAGCAGAGGAAGCTCCAGCTGAACCCGAGGAAGAACTTCTTCCCTCTGAGGGTGACGGAGCCCTGGCCCAGGCTGCCCAGGGAGGCTGTGGAGTCTCCTTCTCTGGAGATTTCCCACCCCCGCCTGGACGCGGTGCTGTGCAGCCTGCTGTGGGTGACCCTGCTTGGGCAGGGGGTTGGGCTGGGTGACCCACAGAGGGCCCTGCCAACCCCGAACACTCTGTGATTCTGTGTTATTCTGTGAATTCC